GATTACAGCCTGTATATCCTGTACCGGCAGTGGTAGTTAGCGCTACACTGGGACTTGAAGTTATCGCCCAACGGTTACGACTATCAAAACTTAAATTGTTTTCGGTATAGAACCCGTAATAATCCGTCAACCCTGTGTTATTGTAACAATAGACGTTCCACACATTATTTCCAAAAACACTTGGTGAAATAGTCGGTGTATTTCTTACGGTTACAACCCTTGTATGGTTAGAGGTCACGCAATTGTTAGATCCGGTGATTGTATAAGTTGTAGTAATGGTAGGTGTAGCAGTAACTATGGTTCCTGTCGTAGCACTCAATCCGGTAGGGGGAGCCCAGGTATATGTATTGGCACCGGACACAGTTATGACATTATTATTAAATCCATTACAAATATTTCCACCGGCTGTGATAGTGGAACTCATAGCATTGGTTGCACTTACTGTTATTACAACGCTGTTTGTAAAAACGGCACAACCTGTAACCGGATCAGTTCCTGTTACAACATAGGTAGTAGTGGCTGCGGGAGTGACCACCGTTGTAGGAGAACCCGTGGCGGGACTAGCAGAAGCAGCGGGCGTCCACGAATAATCAACTGGTAATGTTCCTGTATTGGCAGTTGTTATAGTTGCCGTTGTTAAAGCGCACACTCTGGAAGGTACACTAATAACGATTTGGTTGAGTTTTGTAAAAGTTGCCTGCACCTGTCCATTATTGGCAGCACCCGAACAGCGTATTTCTATTTCATCTGTAGCTTCTATAACTCCAGTCCATGCGTTTGTATGACTATCGCCGGCACCATTGGTGTGGGTAAAAACGGCCACCCCATTTATAATAAAATAAACTTCCTGGCGGTGATTCGGAATATCTAACTGATAATATCCACAAGGAATATTTGTTCTTTTATAAGCGAAGGAATACATCGCCGGATTAATTACGCATCCGGTGTAAGTCAAACCAGAAGCGGTATTTGCAGAACTTGGACTCGAAGTATTTGCCCAGCGCGTAGTTGTATTAAAGCTTAAATTGGTTTCCGTATAAAACCCCATGTAGTTGGTACTGTAATCATTGTCAGCTGCATAACAATACACATTCCATCTTCCGTTTCCGAAAAGTGTGGGTGTGCCTACAGGCCCGAGTATACTTACGTTAGAACCATTGTCGGGTCCGGTTACAGAAGGATTGGAGGCTACAATACGCATACGGTATCCCGTACCTTGTGCACTGGCACCAGGAATTGTGCAGCTTACAGGACCAGGAATAACGCCGGTATAAGTGCCGATAACAACAGGATTGGTAAAGCTTCCAGATGCATTTGAAAGTTCAACGGAATACACGTTCACGCTGGGAACACTCATAAATCCGCAGGAAGTCTGGCTGAATGTTACCGTAAAAGTTTCTGCGAGGCAGTAGGAGCTTTGCGTGAGCGTGGGAGAGTTTAAGGTGATGGCGTAAATAACCTGATCGGCCCCGTTGTCAGAGCCGTTAATAGCAGGATTGTTACTGATAACGCGGTAACGGTAAAGATTGCTGGTTAACAAGGTAGAAGGCAGCGTGCAGGTAATAGTGCCCCCGTTAGTAGCAGTGCGGGTTCCGATAGTAACCGGACTTCCACCAAAACTTCCTATAGCATCAGAAACCTGTGCCGAAAAAATGTTTACAGAAGGGGTATTTGAAAAGGTGCCTGTAACTGTATACGTGATGTTTAGCGTCGCGCCGGCGCATATAGACCCGGAAGCCGCTGGTGACGTAACTCCTATGGCTTGCGAAAATGTTCGTGAAGGAAAAGAAGAATAAGCAAAACGATGAACAGCAAAAGTCTATCGACCAATGCGGTAAAATGGATGATGAGTCTATTCATT